TCTGAGGCTGTGTTAACTGGCCAATACTTGCTTCATCCTCGTTTTACTTCCGTCGCCTTGCTCTGAAGGATCTCAGGGTTGAGGGGTGGGTCTAGCCCCAGCAGGGGATCCCCACCTGCGGCCTCCTCCACCCCCTCACAGGTGTGGCAGTCACCTGCAGAGAGGCATGATGGCAGCATGTGCTGAGCCAGACCTCGGCGGGGGGGCGGGGGGGGGGGTGCTACTGTGCTTTTTCCTCATCTCCATATCTCCATGCTTGGGGACACTCACGTGCACCTTCTCCTGAGCTCACTCTGCCCCATCCACTGGTCCCTGCTGCTGCTACCTTCATAGATTCCTTTTTTTTTTTTGCTTTTTGGGTCACACCTGGCGATGCACAGGGGTCACTCCCAAGGCTCTGCACTCAGGAATTTCCCCTGGCGGTGGTCAGGGGATCATATGGGATGCTGGGAATCGAACCCGCGTTGGCCACCTGCAAGGCAAATGCCCTAGCCATTGTGTTATTGCTCCAGCCCCACAAAGATTCCTCCTTTCAGTCCACCCATCACGTTCTCTAACTTGGAGTCAAGGAAGTAAGGAAAATCCTGCCTACTACGGCCCAGATGGAACCTTTCCTGGTCCTATGGTTAAAAACTGGCAAGAAATTACATTACTTGGGTTGCAGTCTACTCGGGAATGGGGCCGGGCATCCTCCACCCAGATCCTCCAAACTCCAGTAGGCGGGGGTCACACCCACCAACTGGCCCCCTGGCACCGTGTAATCCCATCAACGGCCAAGACCCAGAGACTATAAAAACCAGCTCCCGGAACCGCGCGACAACATTTGTGGCCGCGCGACATCTTATTATGACATCTTATTATCTCATTCCTACTTTGGACAAACTGGCAGGCTACCGAATGTAGCCTGCCCACACGGCAGAGTCTGGCAAACTCCCCGTGGCATACCCAATATGCCAAATACCAGTAACAATGATGGGTCTCATTCTCCTAAAGAGCCTTGAATATAATCTCAGGGCTAGGATGAAGGAGACGTTACTGGGGCCTGCTCGTGGCAATCGATGATTAACAGGATGATTTGTGATTTGTGTGTTGTGATTTGGGTTGCAGTATTGGTGCTGGAGCATCTATACCATTGGCCAAGACTGATCCAGTGCTGCCCAAAAACAAACCCCAATAAGGCCAAGCCCCATTCCAGTGAGGGAAGGTAGAGTCAAAAGCCAGGACGATGAGAGGCCACTGAAGACAGAGGTCACTCTCCTTTATTGTGCCTCAGCAAATCTTCCCGAAAGCAGCATCCAAGAGCAACAGAGCTCAACACCAAGGTCGTGGGTGAGCTGTTTTGCTCTCTCTGTTTAAGAAAAGAATAGTTACCTACAGGTACTAACATGCCCGTGTATCATCTACAAGGTCGTATAAAAGAACCACTTCAGTCGGAAAACATTTCCTAATTGTAAACCGTGCAAATAGCATGAAAATGTCTTGAGAGGCATTAAGCAAGCCGGGGGTGGGCGATAAATGAGGCTTCATCCCCCACAGCTCTCCCTTTTCCTCTGCATGAGGCTGACCTGTGAAAGTCACATGATGTATGTTCTGAACATTGTGACAATCTAACTCTCCCCTTCAAAAAAGGAAGAAAAAGAAAATCTTGGGGGGGGGGGGGGCGGAAATCAACTTTGAGGTCAACTTCTCAGGCATGTCTGAAGCCACATCTGCATCAGAGTTCAGCTCTATGTAAAGCAGCCTGTGGTCACCGTACTTAACTTGGGAAGTGGCCAGTGAGTTCTGTTTCAATGAGCAGAGGGGCTGAGCATTGGGGCTTTTGGTCCACTCTGAAATCTCCAGGGTCCTAGCTGCAGGGGGAGGGGGCCTCAGAAAAGTGAAGGCAAATCTATTTTTATCTAGCTCCAACACACACAAAAGACCACTGGCAAAACATTCAGGAACAAGACACAGCTAATGCTTGGGCAAGTCAGGCGTCTCATGACAATGAAATCTGTTAACAAAATCGAATCCACTAACACACCCAGAAGCTATGCTGGGAGTTGCTCCAGACCCCCTCTAATTAACTGCAGCAGACAGGGGGAAAAAATAATCCTCAGAAATGATCATTGTTTAAATACACTCTATTTTATTTTGTCTTAAAATAGTTTAACCTTTATGCTACAGACTTATTTCAAAAAACAGAAAATCTTATCTTGCACCAAAAAATATATATATAACACTCTGTTTTATTATTTTTTTTCTCCAAAGACCATTAAATACTAAATGGAAACAAACAAAAAAAAAACTATAATGAATGTAAAGCAGAACCAAATTTCATTTTGAAAACTAGAGTTGCACATTGTCAAACATTACGTCTAAGCGAAGACCTGTGGCGGCTGCAGGGAGGTGCTCCCCACTGCGCACTCCTGCAACAGCACATCTGTGAGCTACCAAGTGCATTGGTTCCTGGCCATACAATGGCCACCATTTCATTTTCACGGTAAGAGGAGCCAAAGGCTTCAAATGACCTTCGTGCTCATTAAAAAACAAAACCACAAAAATATTTCCTAGTTATCCAGTGATTTTTTTCTTTTTTTCTTTTTTAAGATCACTACCTTTTAAAATTTGTTAAAAGAATAAGAAGTTCGTAGTGTTTTAAATAAAATGGAAAAAAAATACAACAGCATTGGACTAAAATACGTGATTATTTTAAACAAACAGTGCACAATCTGAGGAAGTTTGGTTGGGCGCAATCATGTTCTAGATACATGGAAGTCACATCATACACAGACTGGGAAATAGGGATTCGGGCTCTGGGCTTTAAAAAACAAACAAACAAACAAACAAACAAACTTTTTGTTTTGTTTTGTTTAGACTGAAAGACAAAAGTGTGTCCCCAGCTTTTTTTTTTTTCAAAACCTTGTGGCATAGTATAAAAAGCAGGCAACAAATTCATGTGTAAGTTCCCTACAATGCTAATCTGCTAAAGGTAACAACAGACTAAATTAGCAAATCAGACGGTCCATATTCACAACTGATCATGAGCATAGCTGAGTTGATGGATGCTCAATTTAGAAAGGGAAATGGGAGTCTTCTCAGTCTGCCCCTTTGATCCAAACAAAATGCTGACTGGCGGACAGCAGCCCTGCGTGCTATGGATGGGGCCCTGACGGGTTTCAAGCAGCTACTGGGGCTCTTGGGGGTGGAGGCAGATAGTATATCAGTGCCGTGGGCAGTCGGGACCCGGCAGAGATCTTACCATGAATGTCCCGCAAAGCATAGAATTCACCTACCAAGTACAAAACTTCCACGGACTTTTTTTTTCTTTTTTTAAGAAAACAAATTATCCCTTTAGCAGATAATTTCGAATGTCACAGGAGTTATCACTGGACTTTTGTCATTTTTTTCCTGCCAGCAACAGGATGCCCACAGTCCTGAGTCTAGCAAGGAAGGGAGAGTGGACGCAAGTAGATGGGAAAACTCTGACCTCATGAGGAGAGGGGCAGCCCCACCAGCCTTGGCACCGCCATTTCTAAACGTGGGCTTCGGTGCTTCGGGTGGCGGGGGAGAGGAGAACGTGGCCAGGTGAGGGCACGGTGTGACCTGCTGTCGAAGCGGAAGTTCAGGAAAGAGCTTGATTACTCTGCCCTTCTCCTGCCCCACAGGACACACCACACCCCCAGAGAATTCTCATGCAAGGTGAACTTGCAGAAGCTCAAGAATCTGCCCTGGGAAAACACCTGCTGGATGGGGGCTGGGCAAAACATACTGCTCACTTAAGACCTGGGAATGCTAGAACATTCCTGATGGGGGTGGGGGGTAGGGGGGGTGGAGGGGTTCCGCCCTGACGCCAGGGGGCGGTAGAAAAAATAAGCTGCAAACACTTCAAGTCATAAAGTTCACTATTCTTTTCCTAATGTTTTTCCTGGAAAACACGGACCAGAAATTGTACATTTCTGCTTCGTCTACTATGTTCATTCAAGTCAACAAACAATGTGTAACAGTGAGAGTCAATAAATTAATCCTAAAGGAGACGTGAAGGCCCAAGGCCGCACCCAACGGGGACTCTGCCGAAGGCTGCTCTGGCCACTGAGTCTTTGGTTTGTGTCTAGAATCGTGGCCACGTGACACTTGCTCTTGGAGGTGCTAAAACGGGAGGCTGCGGAGCTTTTGAAAGTCCGATCTATTAAAAGTAGACGGACAGAAAGAGGGAAAGTTGAAAAAAAAAAAAACAAAAAGTCAAGAACAAGAGGCCAGATCGGATGAGATGCTCATAGAGAAGCTCAGAGGACACAAGCTTAAAAGCACCCCCGTGGGAGAAGAGGTCTCGGGCAGCAAGAATGGAAGCAGCAGGAAGGAGGGCTGGGAGTGACAGAGAAGGCCAGGCCGGCAGAGGCTTACGCGCGCAGAGAGTGTCCCATCCATTCCGGCGGTCCCCCGGCGCCCACCCCACACAGTGCCTGATGCAGAACAGGCACTTGGTTCAATGTGTGTCCACTGGATGAAAGCCAAAAAAAAAAAAAAGAAGCAGTTCTTGCATTGTCCTGCGAAGGAAGCACTACCAGAGTACTGGGGGAAGGAGGCAGAGAATGAGACAAATGTGGTCTGGTAGAAACGGAGACAAAAACAAAGATGAAGATGGAAAAAACGCCCCAGTGTCACCAAAGGCGAGGTCTGCTAAGCTGCTCTCACTTCACCCCTGGTGCACAGCACATAGTATTCGAAATCTGGGTACTGCTTGGAAAACAATTCACTAGTGCCTATAACGTGGTATCAGGGGGAAGGTGGCAACTAACGCCATGGAGTCTACCGCTGGCGTTTCCTGAATTCCCTGAAGCTCCTACTGCCCTCCCTTTCGGCGACCCCCAAGCCTCCAGGGCTCCATATGTGTTGTGCACCTGGTTTCTTGCGGTCCATTTCAAAGTGTTCCACTTTTAGTAGGTGGAGGAGGGAAACACCCACGCGGAGCCTCAGGTGAACTGTGGTCCAAGCAGTGAAGAGCCTCAGGTCCTCAAGGGAAAGACCAGCTGCGAAAAGAGGCCTCTTGCTTTCAGATTTACAAGCGCCCATCGCCTTTGGCAAACCAGCCTCATCATCATGTTCTCCCATTATTTGAATCAACCAGGAAAACGTAAAGGTGATGGAGAAAAGAGTTTCCTACTGATCTCATCAGACTGCCCAGAAACCTTATGGTGGGTATTGAGTCAGAGACATTTTCCAAACAGCCAGGAATTATTGCAACAAGGAGACCAACAAGGTCCCCTCAGCGGTATATTTAGACACACAAAGGGACACATCAAGTTATCCGTGCCATAGGAAGCCAGCCAGGAGCAGAATCTGGAAAGAAGGCAGAAGGCTTAAGCTTGAAGAAAAAGTAAGACTTCTGTCTTCTATTTTTAAGGAAGGGTTTCAAATGCACATGCCCTACTCGATGCCCATAAGGACCTAACTAATGTGTGTGCAAATACCCTACAGTGGGAGTGCCAATGGTTGGGCTGACAGTGGTCAAGTCTAGATATTAATGTTATTACACAGAAAAATAAATACAAGGTTCAAAAACTGAAGTTCATTTTACCTGGTGGTTAAAGTTTTCTAAAAGGGAGGCAGCGTTTCCAAAGCTTCAAAGTGACCAAGTAAAATGAAGTTGCCTAATAGAAGTGATTATTCTCATAGTCCTACTGAGGAAAATAAGAACATTTCTCTGTGATAAGTTATTTTCCTAAATGACTTCTTTTAGTTAAAAAACAAACAAACAAACAAAAACCCCCAGACAAACAAACAAAAACTGGGAGGAGGGAATTTTCCATGAGTTATCAATGATACAAATGCCACAAACAGCTTCTGAGGCTGAAGCTCTATGACAATGAACTTCCATGTCACGAAGAGGAGGGGGCGGGGGTGGGGGGGTGGAGTACAGTGCAGAGGACACACAGTGGTTTTACAGCAGGTATTTACGTCTGCTGTCCTCATCCAAGGTCAGGTCGACGACCTCGGCGGGCGAGGCCCACGTCTGCGGCGGGGTGACCGCAGTCCATGACTGTGCTTGCCGGCTGCTCCCGTACGTGCCGGAGCCATGCTTCCACGAGGAGACGCTCTGGATCACCCCTCCGCGGGGATGGACGCACCTGCAGGGGACACCAACAGCAGAGGCGCGGTCAGCCTGGCTGGGGAAGCGCGAGGGCACTGAGCGACACCGCTGTCCTAAGACAGAGCTCACCTGGTCCACCCCCACTGGTCTTTCCTTGTCCTTCCCCATCGCCCCATCTCTCTAAGCTCCGCACCCCAACATTTGCGCTAAAAAGGTACAGAATTTGTGTTCTCAGTCCAAACCCCCATGCCATCTCTTTTTTTTTTTTGCCTTTTGGGTCACACCCACAATGTACAGGGGCTACTGCTGGCTCATGTACTCAGGAATTACTCCTGGCGGTGCTCAGGGAACCATATGGGATGCTGCAAATCAAACCCGGGTTGGCCATGTACAAGGCAAACGCCCTACCCGCTGTACTATCACTCCAGCCCCTCCCACGTCATCTCTTAAACCAGTGATAAAGAGAGGGAGGCTTCTGTGAGCTCAGGGAAACTGCGAACCAGGGGCTGGAGAGTTAGGAGGGTAGGGGAAGGCGATGGTCTTGCACAGGGTCCACCCAGGTCCCAGGTCTGGCACCCTGCATCCTGCCAGGAGTGACTGCTGAGCACAGGGTAAGCCCTGAGCACCACAGGGTGTACCCACCCCACTCCCCAAATACACCACCCCAAAATAAAGGAAGTCAGTTCAGACCAGGATACTATCAATGTAGAGCAAGAGTAAGATGCCTGAGCAATTTTTGTCTGAACAAATGGAATAGTAAGAAGCATAGGCAAAACATATTTTTAAGAAGATGAAAGTTCTGTGCCATATTTGGTAATATCTTCCAAGACAGTCCACAGCAATACCCTGTCACAGATCAGGTTTCTCAAAGGTTCTGAGTACTGGGTCGTGCCTGGAGGATCCATTTCCCTCAGGCGGAAGGAAGGTCACATCAGAAATGCTCAGCTTGCTCGGCAGAACGGCCTGTGCTTTAGGTCAGAGAAAGAAAGAAGGCTGAGGCATTCAGTCTAACTTCTCCAAGAGTCCAAGCAGGAACAGAGCTTGCCTTGCTGGGGGACGGAAAAAAAAATCAAGCCTAGAGTTCACTGGAAGAGAATGGTTCCAGAAGCACTGAATTAACAGAGTTCTACTTCCTTGGAGTAAGGAAAGTCTCTTTAACAAGTGGTGCTGGCAAAACTGGACAGCTACGTGCAAAAAACAACCGGGCTCAGATCTCTATCTAACACCATGCATGAAAGTCAGTCAAAATGGATTAAAGACCTCAACATTTGACTAGAATCCATAAGGTAGTTGAAAAAAAGGTCAGCAAAACCCTCCACGATATTGAAGCTAAAGTTATCTTCATAGAGAAAACGCCACTGACCAAGCAAGTGGAAGCAAAGATAAACAAATGAGACTATCTTAAACTAAGAAGCTTCTGCATATCAAAAGAAACAGTGACCAGGATACAAAGACAACTTATGAAATGGGAAAGGATATTCACCCAATGCCCTTCTGATAAGAGGTTAATATCAAAGATATACAAGTTCCTGTTGAACTCTACAAGAAAAAAACACCCAATCCACTAAAAATATGGGGCAATGAAATGAAGAAAAACGTTCTCAAAGAAGAAATCTGAAAGGTCAAAAGGCACATGAAAAAATGCTCCCTTCACTAATCATCAAGGGATGCAGATCAAAACAACAATGAGATATAATCTCACACCACAGAGACTGGCACACATCCAAAAGAACAAGAGCAACCAGTGTTGTCATGGATGTGAGGAGAAAGGGACTCTCCTTCACTGTTAGTGGGAAGCCAACTGGTCCAGACTTATTGGAAAACAATATGAACGTTTCTCAAAAAACTAGAAATTGAGCTTCCATTTGACCCAGCAATACTACTCCAGGGATTATACCCTGGAGACACAAAACCCCAGCAGAAATACCATCTGCACGCCTATGTTCATTGCAGCACTATTCACCATAGCAAGAATCTGGAAACAACCTGAGTGCCCAAGAACAGACAAATGGATAAAGAAACTATGGCACATCTATACAACTGAATACTATGCAGCTGTTAGAGAAAAATAAAGTCATGAAATCTGTCTACTAATGGATGGACCTGGAGAGTATCATGCTGAGTGAAATGAGTCAAAAGGAGAGGGCCAGATATAGAATGACTGCATTCATTTGCAACACAAAAAATAATATATAGCAGAAGACTAATATCCATGGCCAGGGCAAACAGGGGCGAGAAGGACTGCCCAACGGTTGGAACTAATCACAGCATGTGTGGGGCCTAGGGTAGAAAAGTTTAAGAAGAGACCAGTATGACAATAATAGCCAAGAATGATCGTGCTGGACAAGATCTGAATGTTAAAAGTGAAGGAATATTCTTGGTAACCTTTCTGTATCAATGCTGCAAACAACAATGAAGAGAGAGAGAAAAGAAAAGTACCTGCCATAGAGGAAGGCAGGGGTGGGGGGTAAAGGGTGATGGGAGGGAACCTGGGAACACTGGTGCTGGAAAATGTACAATGGTGGAGGGATGGGTGTTGGAATACTATATGACTGAAATCCAATCATGAACAACTTTGTAAGGGTCTATCTCACAGTGATTCAATGGTCAAGGTCACGGTCCTCCCGTTGTTCATCAATTTGTTTGAGCGGGCCAGTAACATCTCCATCGTGAGACTTGTTGTTACTGTGTTTGGCATATCAAATACGTCAGGGGTAGCTTGCAAGGCCTTGCCGTGCGGGCGAGATACTCTCAGTAGCTTGCCAGGATCTCCGAGAGGGGTGGAGGAATTGAACCCGGCTTGGCCGGGCCGGCTGCACGCAAGGCAAATGCCATACCGCTGTGATTCAATACAAAGTAAAATAAATAAATATTAAGAATTAAAAAAAAATCACAGTTCCACTTCTTGGTCAAATGGCAGCACTGTGTGTGAGCCTCTGGGATGAACAAGTGAGCACATTTTGGTTCAAATGAGAAAGAAAGCAAAGAGCTCTGGATAAATATACGGTAGGAACCAGGATTAGTAAATGACCCCCCGGTCCTTACAAAGAAGGAGAGAAGTGACCCGCAGCAGCTCTTCTCACAATCACACACAGTGTGTGACGCTGGGTCACCTGGGATGCCAACTTTGCTTCAACGTTACCTATACCAATAGCTTCAGAAAATACTAACATGTATGGGGCCCTGGTTTGAGTCCTAGCACCAGCATGAATGAGCCCTACCCCAAAAGAAAGAAAATAAAAGGACAGTAAAGGAGGCAATGATGGATAAGGTTCAGCTGCAGTTCTCTCCACATGAGCCCTGAAGATTCAAGAGAGAGAGAGAGAGAGAGAGAGATCTTGCTCTGTAAGGCTAGCCATTCCATGATACCCTTACCAAGAGGGATGGGAGTAGGAGGGGTGGGAAGAGAAGATCCCTCCAGGTCAGTACACAGGTTGGAACATGCAGTTAGAAACCAAAGATCCATCAACTGTTCCTTAACAGGCCACACCACTACTTAATCCACATTTTCAAAGATAGGTTAGAAAAAAGCATCTTGGTAAGGCCTTGAGATGGGACAACAGCACTGAGGGCTCTGCATGCAGGAAGGCTGGTCAGGTCCCTTGAGCACCACCCAGTATGGTCCCCAAAAGCAATCAATGAGTGAAGGGATGTAAGGTCCAAATACTGAATCAAATGTATCTGATCAACAAAGTGTACTCAGATTGATTGACCACATAGCAGTGGAAGAATGTCAGCCAAAGGAATCCATTCAACTTCTATAAGCGGTCCAGAGCACCAATTTAAAAGTATAAAGTTCATCAAAAGTTCAAAAGCTCGTCTGTATAGGCACTCATTGAAATAAAGCTGGCTAGAAATTTAGCAGCGATTTGGAGAATGGATGGTTACAAGGAGATGCAACTTATGATGTAATGTTTGAGAGAATTCCTAGAAAGAACCTCTGAATTAAGCAGCTCCCCACGTATACAATTTAGTACTGGGGCGGGGGGGGGGGGGGCGGCTTTAAAGGGGTCTGATTCGACTGGCTCACTTCACAGCCAAGGTTAACAAGGCCAACATACAGCAGTTCAGGATCTCAAGCAAGTTAATACAGAAGCAGAGCAAAACCAAGTCTACACTGGGGAGCTCACGGTCCACTAAATAACTGCCTTCATCAGACTACAACTCCTGTACAGTGTGTGTTTAAAGGGAAGTGCCTGTTTCCTGATCATTCAATCAACAATGAAACAAATTCTACAAAATGTCCAGCGCAGGGGAGTGAGAATTGAGACAGCATGGACTTCTGAGGAGAGAGGAGAAGCAGATTCAGCACCTGAATATCCTCTTTAGGAAAGGTCAGGTCTAGAGCAATGCGTCAGATAATTCCAGTTATCCCAAAACCAGCATGAGACACTTTAAGCTGAAAAGGGGACTTGACTGAAAAGACAATGTAGCACGTCCCAGAATGTGAGAATGAAGGAGGAGGAAGCTGCATTTATTTACCTCAAGCCCCAACTCTCTCATTCCATTTTTTCTCACAAGTTTAGATTCTCTTAAGAATGTGACGGTCTTCTCATTACTCAAAAACGTGATTAGCCCTTATTAACTGTAGTTGGAAAGACAGTTCCCATGGAAGGAAGACTCACCAAGGAAGGCAGTTACTCTGCCACGCTGTAAAGAGGTTCAAGAACAAAAGAGTCAATTTCTTGAAGCTCATGTATTAGATAATCAATACAACATACAAAGTACAAAACTGGAATAACTGTCCACTACAAACTGGAAATAAATATCCATGTAACTGTTAAACCATTCCTAGGTAAGTTAAATGTATTCCAAGATCAGGGCCAGGGAAAGAGTAGAAAGGTGAAGGTGCTTACCCGGCAAGAAGCGACCCGAGTTCAAATCCTTAGCACCATATACAGTCCCCCAAGCACAGAGCCAGGAGTAAAGCCTGAGCACCACCAGGCATGGTCCAAAGAACAGAAACCAAACAAATAAAAAAAACTATTCCAAGATGAATTCTAAAGTCAGGAGCACCTTAAAGATGAACAAAATGGG